TGGTGAATACTGAAAGAGACAGAGAGGACCAATTTGCTGCCATGCAATGAAGTGACACAAAGAAATTGAGATGACGGATAAAAGGTCAGAAAACCGAGATGACAGACAAAGAAAGAAGAGGACTTTGAGGATGCAAAGTAAAGATTATAGACAGAATAGAAGCATACGGAAATTGTGTGACATGTTGATGAGGAAGATTAAAGGAAAGTAAACAGGGGTCAAATATGTCCAACACTTGTTGACTTACAAAATAAACAAAAGTAAGGATTTCACTCAACCAATTACTATAAACGTGGGCTTTGGTATGGATCCAGAGAAAATAGCAGCATTCAGAGCAAACATGTAGCTGCAGTTTTAGGCTGTGCTTTAATTTGCTAAGATAGTACGCTTACGCTATGAGCACTTTGTCTATAACGTTTACTGTCTTCGTAATTTCCCTTTCATTTTAATCTGGCATGGCTGGCCGAGCCTCAGAGGATTTAGTTGACTTCTGTCAGTCAGTTTCATGGCCAGCTTGTGTCCATCTGTACTTTTTTACGGTTAATGTTGCTATATGTTAATCTCATCACTCTATGCCCATCATTACATGTTATTTTTCATCTTTTTCCTACCGACTTGAAAGAATTGAAACCCAGAGATTTGAAACTCTGAGGCCAGCTCATGCGCTCTCTGCGGGATGCAGCTGAAAGCAAAATGCTGGAGCTGTCCTGCTGTGTGTGGAGAATAGTAGCAGCTTTGACAGATCTCAGTCCGAGGTCAGGGCTGGAAATCAAGGCTTTATATTCATAGCAGTGACTCAAATAAATGGATGACTGCTGTATAAGTCAGCTTTCTTCATCGATGAAGAAACACCAAAGTGAGACAAATCAGTGGCATTTGTCTTCTCTAGCTGTACTGAAGACTTATTCACAAATGTTATAGATGGGACTTCAGGTAAGTAGAGGACAAAAAGACAAACCAGAGTCATATTGCATAATCTCACATTTACTTCACACATTAGTTGTTATTTAATATCATACATATATGTTTAACTACTTTATGGTTTGTGCAGTTGTGTTTTCTTCCCCAGTTAGATATTGTCTTGATTTTCTCAACATGAAAAAACAGAAAAACTATTTTAGTTTTGAAAAATGTGTATTGTTTTTTTGGTCTGTTAAAGGTGGGGTAGGTAAGTTTGAGAAACCGGCTCGAGATACACTTTTTGTTATATTCCATGGAATGCTCTTAACATCCCGATAGCAATGAATATCTTAAGTGCTTTGACAAAAAATCCATAAAAAAATGTCATCTGTGGAAGCCGTAGTACTGTAAAAAGCATGACCAATCATTTTAGCCGGCCCAGCTAAAATAACTGGATGGCCTACCTGCCGGTCAGCCTTCCATCTGTGCACAAACTTATCTCGTGCCCTCATTGGTCATGTGCGCGTCCGTGTGTGTTGGAGGAGGGGCTCTGTAAGGAAGTGGCAGATTTTCTCCGGTTGTGTATTTTCAAATTCTAGCGATCTCGAGCTGGTTTCTCCAAAATTACCTACCCCACCTTTAAGCACATTTCAACTATTTAAAGAACCACACCTGACTGTCTGCACATTTTAAATCATGGTTTAGTGTGTTCATGTTCAACCTTTACCAAATAATCATCTGCGACCCTTTAGCTTTAGCAGGTAAATGCATTCTGCACAAATTCCATATAATCTACCAACACATTTATGCAGCCTTGGAGTACAGGTCAACAAATGACACAACACATATCTGATCCATAAGCACATGTATATGTTTTAATTGGCATAATATACAAAAATAAACATAGTATGGAAACAGGTGTTAGAGAGCAAACAGTATCAAATAAAGCCATGAGGGAGTTCCAGATATCAAAACGGTTGTAGGCGGCAGAGAGTAAATAGTGTACGCTCTGCTCTCGATGCTCGAAGCTAAAGGTCTCATGAATCATTTAGGGAGCTTTGTGCATCTATTACATCCGCCCCTGAGAAGACCTGCATGACCTGCGCTGTGTAAGATCTCTGAAGCATTTCCAATAGGATTTACCCTCAATTCAACAATATGTTCTGCTTTAGAGGATCCTGGACAAAAGTGACTCTGTGAGTGTGTGAGCGACGACACAAGGATGGTTGAATTCCCAGTAAAGAAAAGAATCAAAATCCCATATTTATTTCGTCAATAAATGCTAAACCATTGATTCCACCTGTTAGTATATGTATGTTAACATAAGGAAGATACCTTGCTTTATTTCATATGTTTTAAAAAGAATGTACACAGTAATAGGAGAAGAGAACTAACGAGAAAGCACAGCAATACACATTGATAGAGACCGTGTGGAAAAACATGGACACATAATATCATGATTATTGACCTCTGTAGTTGTCAAATTGTATGTTAGTTTAAGCTACGATCATTGACATGCTATACTTAGTCCAACCCGGTATCACGGCAAGATGTGAACATGTGAGGATTTTACATAGCCGTGATACCGGGTTGACTTAGTCAGAACATTTAAACATCTAGAATGAAGTGCAAGCGGGATGTATTGTTTTCAAGAATCTCAAGACTCCTAAAGATTTGTTTCTATATATTGAATTAAACATCTAATTTTTTTTAGCTTGTGATTTTAAATTACAGACAGGTAACAACAACAACAACAACAACAACAACAACAACAACAACAACAACGACAACAGCTGAATGTGATGGCAGTATTCGTGTGAAGGTTTTATAAAATAATACAAACATATAACAAAGTAACCTTGTGATTGCAGACAGAGGAAAGGTTCCTCTCAAAAGCACTCAGAGCTGAATGTAATAATTTCTTGTTGTGTTCCTTTTGAAACAACTTCATTGAGGAGTCTTTTATTTAACTGCACCAGCTTAATGACTTCAAGGTCTCTAGAGTGACTCAAAATAAGATGCTACACGTAAATTGATTTGTTGGTAACAATAATTAATTATACGGAAATCTACGGAAAACAGAGCCAAATAAAAATGAATACAGTCTAGATCAGGGGTTCCCAACCTTTTTTCCCAAGAGCCCCCCCAAATGACTCCTGTTGGAAGTTGCGCCCCCCCCATTTTCGCTTATCCAGAAAAGCCTGGTTTGGACACTTTACGGGCAGAAGAAACATTTCTATTAAAGAAAGAATTATACATTTCTGTCTTTTTATGCCTATAATAGCTACTAACTTGAATTTGTATTCAAATTGTAGAGACAAGGCTTTTAGTGACAATCATGTATTGCGTTACAATTATATGTAAAAAATTAAAAAATTAAAAAATTAATAAAAAAAAAGTCTTAATATGATATTTGGCCTCAAATCATCTGAGGCCTGGCGCCCCCCCTGCGATCTTTGGCGCGCCCCCCCAGGTTGGGAACCACTGATCTAGATGTTCATTTACTTGTTACTGATGAATCCTCTTGCATTCAAGTAGCTAACCTAAGTTAAATCCCTGTGCATATAACAGCAAACTAGTTAACTACGACTATGTATTTTAATTTGAATAGCTTAACATTGTAAGCACCATAAAAAAAGGTTTGTCTATACATGACACTTGAGGCCGCCCTCAAGTTAAATATTGGTCCAATATAATATGCAACTCGATCAAATCTTAATGCTTTAAAGGTACCATTTTCAAATCAAAGGCAACCCTTAAATGAAAAGATTATCATTTCATACTCATATGTTTTATTTCAAGTAAATATTTAAGCAGCATGCTGTTATTAAACTCACACAATTTAATACAAAATTGCAATTGAAAATGTAATTGCCACAAACACGTACATTTATTAAAACCCCCCCAAAAACCTTTTTTTAAGATTTATGTTATGAAAATCTTTTATATTTGTTGATTTTTTATGCAGATAACTTTTCTTAACATTTAAAGCATAACCCTACTGTTTAGCAAACGCTGTGGACAATCGTGGATTGGAGGTTAAGACGCCAGAGGTCCTGAACATTGACCTGAAATAACCGACTGATCGACACTGGAGTATCTGGCAAGTGTTCCTCTATGGACAATCAATGGTATAGATTGGTTTTAGAAAGTCCTTTGAGAAAAGAAGAGGCTGAAGTGAGAAGAAGCCATTACAACGACCCACTGCTGCACTTAAAACACAGCCTTTCAGTTCAATAGCTCACCATTTGTATCTGTGTGGTACAATCCAAACCAGTCTTTCTTTTGTTAAACTTGCCTGGTCTTTTGTATTGAATCATTAAAGTCTTGAGGTTTAATCATGTCTGGTCTGCTTGTTGACATACTTTGTTCTTTAAAATTATATTGTTCAGTATTTAACAGAGATTGGAAAATAATTGTACTTTCATTTGAAGGACAGATAATCGTACTGATTGACCATAAACAATTTAACATTACAGTTTTGATTGTCTATCACTATGGCATTGTTTGTTTGGCATAAAATCACTAAACCAAAGCCCAAAAACAATTAATAAGCACACATGGACTTTGTATAAAAGATACGTTTGGTCTTGGTTCTGCTCTGCAGATGACTCTTAAGTCTCAGATGTTACTTAAAGGGGACCTATCATGCAAAATGCACTTTTGTACGTCTTTTATACATGAATGTGTGTCCCCGGTGTTCCAGGGAACTCACCAAGTGTCAGAAAACACAACCCTCTCTATTTTCCTCCATACCCAAATCTCTAAAAAAGGGGCTGCAACGGATCTGATAAAAACTGATCCAGATTTGAACACTGTCCTGACGTCAGGACGGTGGCGCTACGGCTATTGGGCCAACTCCACCAATCAGGAGGAGACAGCCACGGCCATTGCCGTCCGAAAGCGCTGGAGACGCTGTAGTACATATGCCAGGCCTGTAGGTGGTGCTGTTGCTCACAGAATCAGCCCTTGCAAAAACAGAGCTAGAAATTGTCAAATTGAGCAAAATGAGGCATGGCTAAAATGCATGATCTGTTTGGTATTTTGAAAAAAAAAAAGTATAAATATGCCTTATATAGGTATGGTCCTACACTATATTATTCAAATATAGCATGATAGGTCCACTTTAACCATTCCTATGGTCTTGAACACATCAAAAAGGAAGAGGTTTCCAAACAAGTCATATTCTCACTGCTTTACCCCGTAAAGATAAGGTGAAATTCATAGTTTTTGTTGTGGCTGGTTAACTATCACAAGACTCTCCAAGTTGATTATAATATTTTACTAACATAAACTAAGCTCAATGGACAAGGGAGGTGGGAATAACTAGGACAACATCTTGCAGTAAGGGTACATTTGTGAGATAGTATATGCAGTTAAAGGGCTCAAGGTGAAGGTGTATTTTGTGTCTGTTTTACCCAGGCTTCCAGACATTGTATCACCTGTGGCTAATCTAATGTGTCCGGCTCGGCGTCCATGCAGGTCTCCCAGGGGTTACGGGGCATGTTGGGCATGGAGATGAGGAGCAGGGCACCCCCGCTGAGGATGAGCAGCGTGAAGGAGGCGCAGGCACAGGTGAAGGACCAGGAGTAGTAGTATTCAATCCAGATGGTCTCATCACTGTCAATCATGCGTTTGACAGACTGGCGCATTACCTCAACAGATATGATAATACAAAGACCTGCGGGGACAAAACAGAGAGTCACGGTCGTTTAGGAGAGTAGTTGTGTTCAACCTTTAAATGTCAAGATTGTCCGTTGTGTTTGTAAGAATAAAAGCGATTCAAAAAGGGGGTTAACACCCATCAAAGTATATGATGATAAATATATTGAAATGTCACCCTAAGGCTACATCAAGAAAGAGCGCCACATGAGTGAGTTTGGTTGGTGGTATGAGAGGGTACGGCTTCTCACGTGTACATGTATCATTAGTATTCGAGCTGACTGCCTGAGGCTTCGTTCCTATTAGTAATATTCTTGACAAATGAAAAGGTCTGATGACACTTTTACATCTCACTTGAAGCTGTAACACAAAAGACAAGAGTAGCAGCCAGAGCTTGATCTGTGATTCACATTATCTGCAGCGTCTCACCTGCGAAGGCGAAGAACATCCCAGCAGGCCGGAGCAGGTAGTCCCGTCCCTTCCCGAAAGAGAAGATGACACAGATGGTGCCCAGGATCATAAAGATCAGACTGAAGATGGCAATGGCTGCTGCTGATATATTGTACTCTGAGGTTAGACAAAGCAAGATGAAAAAAGTTACAAATAAACAGTAAATAGGGAGTGAAGATACAGAAAGAAAAGCAAGTGAAAGTGAGGGATAGAGAAAAGAGAGAAGCTGTAGTTATTACAAATTAGAAGAGAGTGGGAAGGAGCAGAAGGGGAGGTTGCAATCTCGTTTACATAATCATGACACAGATAATTAGCCTCTAAATTAGCCTCCCTTTAAAACAACAGTCATTTATCCAAACTGGCAATAATGCCATTTGCTCCAGGCTTATAACAATGTGGTTACGACGTCTCTCTCTTCCCCTCCTGTCTGTTGGTAGATATTTATGATGTAGTCTTTCTTTCAATCTAACACTCCAACTGTGATAGAAATGAACCTTAGAGCATCCGGTTTCACTTCAGCAGCCCGACGGGAGCATCAAGTGTAAAATAACCCTATGCACTCATTCTCTCCAGTGCAGGTCGCCTGTCTCTTTGAGGGCTGTTGGTCTGTTTGGTGATGCATGAGTATCGCTTTTGCATTTCACGTATGCATGTTTTTCCCTAAGCTTGATAGCTTTTGCACGGTATGTTCAGTTCAATAAACACATTTTCAAGCCCCAATTTGTGTTGTATTATTTGTGGTATACTTCCTGCCGGTAATAACAGGCTCTGCAGTCTCTGTAGAGTGTCTGAGTGTTGTATGTCTTTTAAAGAAATTGACTTTGAGTCTCTTCAATAAAGCTGATGATGATGATGTCTTTTAAAACTACTGAAGACCTATCTTTTTACATTGGCTTTTATTTCAATTTGAAATGTGTGTGATGTGTTCTGTTATTATGTGTGTTCCTTTCAGGACTCCACGTGGTCTGTGTTTTGTTTTTATGTTGACCTTACATTTCTGCCTCATGTGGTTATTGTATTCATGTTTCTGTGGTCTTAATTTAAACTTTTGTTCTTTCTTGTGAAGCACTTTGTGAATTCTATTTCTGTGAAAGGGGCTATAATAAATAAACGTAATTATATATACCTTAAATGGTGTTTTCAATTTGGCACAACTACATACAAAATAAATGCACATGAATAGATGCTTGAATTTAGCGGCATTCAAATTGAAATAATTCATTTCCAGCCAGAAGCTGGTCAGCGTTGATATTCTGACAAGACTGTAGACTTGTAAACACTGTATTCATTTATGTATTTAAACGTGATAATGATCTGTAATTGCCTGTCTTTATGAGTACCTATGTGTCCCCCCCGCCACGCTTCGCTGTGTGTTCTTCAGAAGCTGAAAAGGGTTTAGCTGTTTCCTGGAAATACATTGACTTTGAGAATTACAATCCTTCTTAAGCCGGAAAGATGAGAAGATCAGAAGCAGAGTATATTGGAACATATTTCTATCTTATCTTATATGAAGGTCAGTGTGCATTTTACTGAGTTGGTGTTCAAGTGTATTGTAGTTGTATAGAAAAGAAAAACCTAGGTTCCTTGAACATTTCCTACAAACGTTTGTGGGGAAAAAAGATCTGTTTCAGTATGGGTGACAGTGAGGAGGCACCCACCTTTCTGTGTCTTCACTTCAAAAACTTCAGCTTCTTCCCCCGAGGTGAAGTGTTTGAAGTAGGAACAGTTTTGTGCTGAGTAAGAGGAAAGAGAGAAGAGGGAGTTGAAAAAAGGGTTGTATCTGTGTGTCTGAAATATCAATCCTAAACCTCTCAATGGACCCCATTCAAATCAGCCAATGCACATACATTGATTAAACAGACAGCCATGAAAAATGTTAATGTTGTGTGACCATTATATTTTTTTACAAAAGTTAATTTATTTACCCATTCATAACCTCACTATTTTGAAAGTTCCGAAATGATTTAGAATTATTTATCTAGCATATTGTCTCTTAGCTGTTCACCTAGGTGGATTCATACAGTCTTAGCAGCTAAAACCTGAACATCAGAAATACTAATCCTGAAGAATTTGAGCGGCAGCCATAATAAGAGCTAATCCAACTCTCCTAAAGCTTAGGGTTTATCTCCAGAGTACATCTTTGCTTGACCTCATGACGTTTTTAACGAGGTAGAGAAAAGGGCTACGGAGAGAGATATTGGAGGCGTGTGGCGCAGTGGTTAGAGCCTTGGTTTTGGGCTCAGGGGGTCACAGGTTCAAACCCCACTGCAGTCAGCATGTTGTTGTGTCCCTGGGCAAGACACTTCACCCCAAATTGCTCCTGTGGGGATTGCCCACAGTATTGAGTTTGTAAGTCGCTTTGGATAAAAGCATCTAACAAGTGACATGTAATGATAGGATAGGACGAAAAATGAAGGCGCAAAATGAAGGTGTGTATTATGTGCCATCTAAACTCAAGCTATCATTCGATGCATGTTTAACGCCTCCCCAAACTCAATAGCGTTCCAGTTTTACTTTCAAAAAGATAATCTTAAATTAAGTTCCTTCATTGTCTTCCATGTTCTTAATTCTCAGATAACATGCCACACCCATTTCTACACATATTGACCATAATCTTTTCTATAGCTTCATATAGAAAAACGAATCCTTGTTGGAGCCACATCCATCTTTCCTGTTTGTTTAAGCTGGCTCTTTTCCTCCACTCCTTTCTTACTGAGATTAAACCCATAAAGCAGACAGGTGCTCTCTCTGTCCTCTCAGAGACGGACAAGGTTTCTGTGTCTGAACACGTGTGTGTGTGTGCACATATAGCCTACTACGTGTGTGTATGAGTGAGGAGCTGTTTGTTATCCAGGATGAGAAAGAATCACTAAAGAGGTAACCTAGCAACAGGCTGCTGCACTTCTTGCCCAGTCCTATCTGTTTACACATGTAAAGTGTGTGTGTGTGTGTGTGTGTGTGTGTGCGTGTGTGTGTGTGTGTGTGTGTGTGTGTGTGTGTGTGTGTGTGTGTGTGTGTGTGTGTGTGTGTGTGTGTGTGTGTGTGTGTGTGTGTGTGTGTGTGTGTGTGTTAGCATGGTGGCTAATCACCCTTATGTTAGCCCTGTATCTGTTTTGTTTATGTTTCCTTTTGTCATTGAACTTTAATTTCATGTATGTGTATTGTTTCTACAGGTTATTGCTTTTGAATTATTGTAAGAGTTTTCAATTGTTGTGAGGAAAAGATGTTCTTTTTCCTTTTTCAGTTCTTGTGTTACAGTGTCTCATAGCATTGGAGATGTTTACCTACTATGGGGCCGTTTCTGTTTTGCATTTTTTAAATCGGAAATAAGGTTTTGCCCAGGGTAGAGTTTCTCGCTTTCATCTTTATTGAAAATTAATTGAATGCGGGTTTCAATTTTTCAGTAAAATGTTGACAAGTTATTTCTTAATCAAATAGTACATCCTCCAAGGTCATGACTTTTAGGTCTACTTAAAATCGTATTGATTGTTTTTCCTGATGCAAAGAAATTCAATTTTGCCGACATGCACCAAATGGTCTCGAACCTAATGTAAGGTCAATTTGCCTGGTGGAGCTGTTTGTTATACATGTCAGATGACAAATATGCCAACATTAATTCAATGAATAGCTCAAAACTTCTTCAAGGCCAGTAAGAGAACATATTTTTTCTCGAGTACTTAACCTTGGTGCTAAAAAGGAAGATCTGTTCTACAAGTGTGATTCATTCAAATAATTATATCACTTTCTACTGCTTCAGTATGCGAACACTTTTGTTTCCAGGTTCTGTCCTTGACGCATTATACTTGTAAAGTTTACTGTTATCGCACATATTTTGTAAGGTTCAAAACCAAACTGTCTTGTAACTTTAGCTGGTGAACGTTCACTGAGGAGGAGGACAACATCTGGGTGCGTATCATTGACCTTGCAGTCAGGCTAATGAGGAGATTTAGTTCCAGTAAGGGACAGCGATTAGAACGAAGTACCGCCTGTCATTTTAGCTTTGCCTCTTTCGACTAAACTCTGCTGCCACCTTCCTCTGTTTGATATGCAGATTCTCCTTTAGCCTTACCTTCCTCTCCATGCCTCCATCTCCACCTCATTAAACCTGTCTCTCTCTCCTACAACTCAACTGGTCTTTGATTATTCTTCCAGTTTAGTATTTATGTGATTTTCCTTTTCCTTTGGAACTCATGTTTTCACCAAAATTAGAACTCATATTGCTCTTACAAAATAACTCATATATCTCTTGCAGGAGTGTTACAGAAGATTTGTTGGCATGAGGAGGGCCTGTTCTTTTTGTAGCCACCCAGAATGACCCACTAATTCTGGGTCAATGTGAATAAGATGGGTGGTGGTGTTATTTGAATGGCTATTCCTCTAGGAGGTCTGATAACTGGGACACAGCACAGGAGCCCTTGTGAATAAATCCATGTATGAGTGTGTGTGTGTGTGTGTGTGTGTGTGTGTGTGTGTGTGTGTGTGTGTGTGTGTGTGTGTGTGTGTGTGTGTGTGTGTGTGTGTGTGTGTGTGTGTGTGTGTGTGTGTGTGTGTGTGTGTGTGTGTGTGTGTGTGTGTGTGTGTGTGTGTGTGTGTGTGTGTGTGTGTGTGTGTGTGTGTGTGTGTGTGTGTGTGTGTGTGTGTGAATGCGGCCTGACTCTTATTATGACATTCAAAACATTAAAGTTATCATTTTCAACCAAAACTACGTCTGAGTATCTCATACTGGAAGGGTTTCTCATTTGCATACTGTGGAGTGATTCATTCAGATTTTGAACCTTACTCTCGTTTTCTGAATGCCAAAGCAACGCAACACCTCCACATTTTTGGCTCTGAATCCAAAGCGAGAGAGGAAAATTACTGGATTACTGTTTGGAAAGTGAAAGTGGTGGTTCAAGGTGGCACAAGGGAATGAATTGGGGCACCAGTGTTGTGTCACTGAAGAAATGGAGAAGGAAGCATTTTTTTGGAGCGTTCTGGCTGCTTTCTAATGTAGGAAAGAAACACTTTCCTACTTTTATGCTCTTAAACATCTCTAAAGTTGAACTCCTTTCCTTTTCCTTGCACACGTATGTGTTGGAAAAGCACCATTAACGCTCTTTATTTCCCTTTCGAGATGCGTGATGTAAAAATAAAGGGTTTGATTGACTTTTACAGCACTTAAGCCGTCATGCGTCATTTGTGGGAAGCTCATTTCAAAAGTCATTTTGGTTCACTGCTTTGCTGCCGTTGTCAAGCAACCTTTTCACAGAAGCAGTTCAACTGTGCCTATGAAAAGTGTTTGTGTCTCTTGAAGACTGACTCCCCCTCTGTTTGGGAAAATGCAAATGTGTGTTGTTGGGCTCAATCACCTGCTTGGGTATACTGTTCATCAAGGTCGTAATGTATTATGGTGCATTCTTGATTAATTTAGTTTTTTTGTACAATGTGGTGATGTACTAAACACTTGACCATGAACGCAAATTAAATTGAGAAGCAGATAAGTAACACTGGTATGGTGTTGTTAGCCACTCCATTAGACTATATCTCAGTGGCCAGTACCATATGACTATTACTGTTCTCTTTACTTTGTATTTTATGTTCATTTCTGAGATGTACAAAGAATCGAAAAAAGTAGAAACCAGTCCATGTTGTAGATCTCATCATGATGTGTTCATGGTGTTGCTTTAAGGCTGGCTGGCTTGTTAAGTGCAAACACTTCACCCTTAAAAAAAACAACGTGTATTTATCCCATGTGAAACATTATTATTCATGTGAAATTGCACTCAAAGTGTGCAATCCAGCCAAGCCTTCAATGCTCAGCCATGCAGCCATTCCTGATATCACTCTTATCAAAAAGGAAACAGACCGGCTTAAGCTAGAAAGTGGCTGTACAGTAATTCTCTCTGCTGTCGAACTGCATCAACCAGATTGACCAGCGAGGAGCCAGAAGATAGAAGCACCTGTTGAGAGGAAACCTGTAGATGCCAATTCTTAGCCAATGGAGAAGCGAAATAAGCTTTGCCTGGTGAGGACCGTCAATGAAACTCACTTTCTTAACCTGTTAATGGACCAATCAGCATCTCACCCAATGTCCTCTTTACTCAGGGACACACCCCCACACTTACAGGCCTATTTCTGATGTCACCTGGACCACAAATCAGTACGGATCATCTTGTATAACCACCAAAATGATTGTGCCCAGTGTGGGAGCCACAGGCTGCATAGTCACACACCAAATCTCCCACATAACCCAGGTTTAGAAACATCAATGTGGTTATGGGAATGTAACCAAATACGTCTATGTAAAAACATTGGTTATTTTCATTCTCTGACAGGAGTTTGTCTGATGTCTTTTTTTGTGTCATCCCAGAGTATAGCAGAAGCCGATTCTGGACACATTATGACACTGTTTTTGTCTGTCAGGTTGTGGGGGTTATAACATACTGTTGTTCATCTTATGTGAGGTTAGAGTCTGTCAGATCAAATGTGCCTCTCATTCATTGAAGAAATCATTGCTAAGACAGCAGCTGGGAATCTCAATTTTACACTAAAAAGGTGTCCTGGAGGCCCCAAATGTGTCACATCATTATGTCAGGGTCCAGGGAGCTATCACAACTTTTGTCTACCTTGTCTTTCCGTCCTCTATGTACAGTATCACCTCCTATCATTGGAAAGCCCCCCCCCCCCACCCCCCGTCTATGAATACTACTCGATTCACCCACACAGACATCAGTTTTCTTTCACAATCCCTTTCATCCCTCTTGAGCCTTCCAGGTGTACTCTAACTCATGAGCTGGAGTGTGAAGCCACACTTCATTAAGGCCTGTACTGATCCTGAGGAGCTGGAGCTGGAGGCTAAGTCAATGATAGAGTCAGACTGAAATCTCTCTGTTAGGCTGCAAGGCATGCGCACACAGCCGGAGGCAAACGAGACGCTGTTTGTCCCAGTGCTCGCTCTGTTCAAAAAGGGCTAGTAATTTAAGCTACAAGGTTTTCTTGGCGAAGCATACATTTGAACACTGAATGCCTTTGACTTTTTTTAACTAAAACACATACTCTATGCAACATATGAAAGGAAAGGAAATCGTTTCTAAAATTGACTTGCACCAAGCAGCATATCACAGTTTTTCTTTTTCTTTTTTGTAATCAAGCGAGTTATTTCAAATCGTTTTTTCAAAGGTTTTTTAGTGGCATCAGAAAATCCTGCTTTAATTAGTTGCATTCCTAAAGCATCTCTCATATTAACCTCAGATCTGCTGTGACACTGCAAGCCAGAGTTAAGAGTTATATTAGCATCCATTGATTTTAGTCTATAAAGAGTATGCTGAAAAATTACATAACACTTTCTGGGTCAAAAATGGCTTGTATGTCTAATTTTCCATTGAGAGTCCATCAGACCAGACAGAACAGATTGAGGTCATGTTAGCTGTGAAGTACAGCAGCGATGCTCTTCCATTACACACTTGACTTTAACTGCTCGACTGTGCTAAATTAGTAGTCTGTTCAGAGACTTCCTCTACGGAAGATAATAATGGTTTCTGAGAGAAGCTGGCCATAGAACCATTAAACATATGTCTGTTTGGACTGAAACACAGAGTGGAAGAAAAGGTTGACTGAAAGTGCTCGTATGGAAAGAAACTTGGCGTTTGACCCGCTCTTTCACTCCTTTATCTCTATTGAGCATATCTATTAGACATGAAAGCAATATTTGCATTTGATGTCCCGATATATAATAAAAAAAAATGACTTTATGGTATCAATGCTGTGACCAACAGGTCTACATAGTTTAAATTCACAAACAGTACTGAACAAAATCTCAAATCTTTAACTCAAATACAAGTTAGCATATGACAGCTAGCAGACAGAAAGAAATATTTTTCTGTTGTCTAATATTTGTTGTCCCCCTGACATGAAGCTTAACAGTAAGCACAACAATCCTCAAACAGTCAGTTTAAGTAAGAACGAATCGCTTAGTACCTCCAGGTAGGCTGATGGGACCGCAGCCTTTGCCCCGAGGGTCTTCCTCCACGATGAAGATGATCTTCTTGCAGAGCCTCCAGAGGCCAAAGTGGGCCGCCTCGCAGGTGGCGTTGAGCTTCTCCACCCGGGGGCTGAGCACGGCCCAGTGGTCGGTCACCACCGCCGCCAGCATCGTCGCCATGCCCACCACAATCACCACAGAAGTGATCTTAACCTTGGTCGCCTGCTCCTCAAACATGTTGCTGTTCTAAATGTGTGCAAAGTCTGTGCACATGCACGCGTTTTCACGTGTGTGTGACACGGGTAGGTGAGAGTCAAGGTTGTCGTGTTTGTCTAGACGACGGGCGTTGACTCCAGAGGTTTCCTCGTCTTGTCTACAGCTTCACTTCACTCTTGAAGTCCTCTCCTGTCCACCGCTCTTTCTTTCTCTTTCTCTGCTTTGTGCCTGATGTTTGGTAAAAAGGGGCCAGTTAGCAGTGCCCTAGTTTCTTCCTCTCTCTGCTTTCTCTCCCTCCCAAGTTGCCTTTGCTGTGTTGAGGCCATTAAGCTACAAAATGAAGATGTGCAGGGAAGAGCTCAGACCTATCACACCTATTTCTCGAGCAGTTCTGTCCACAAGGGTCAGGTCACGATCAGACACTTTAAAGTTGAAAGTTCAGGCACAGTATATTGATTGAGAAGGTTCCAGTCGTCTAACTCCGACATCTAATTAAAACTTCCAACAAGTATTGACAGCGCAATCATTTATTTATGAATCTCTAATTCATCTAAAACATTTTCTGTCTCTTTATACAGTGCCATTCAGCTGAATTGTCTCCTGCACTGTGTGCCAGGGGAGTTCACAAGGGGTGGGGTGAAGGGGGCTGGTCTACTATATTAGAAGTCGTCTGGATGAGCTGATCTACTTACTCAGCCAATCAGCGCTTAAGGCCCGAGACAAGGGTCCCACCTGATGCAGCTGGTCCAGATTCAGAAAGACAGAGAAATAGCTTCTGCAAAGGACCTTTCAAATAAGATGTTAACTTCACAAAGATGTCATTTGCTCTGCAGCACAGTAGAGAGAGTAACTTTATATATTTGAGTTGATTAAAAATGGCCTTCTTAATGTCCCTGAATATACATCAACTTGCATTTGGATCCTACAAGTGGCTATGACACGCTGTATGTCGCACACAAATGTTTGATTCTGTGTTTTTTTTATTGTAAAGGACTTTAATTCCCTAAATCCTGATTCATCTCAAAGGCACAATCAACCTTTTCCCTATGAAATACTTGAGTAAATGGGTAGGCTTTTTATAAACCATGTGCCCCATTTTAGGAAGGACTCTGGCCCATTTTCAACTGACAACACTCACTCTGATCTGGGATTTTTTTAACACACTAAATGGCAAGACATTTTCAGCTAAGGCAAGATGTAAAGGGAGAGAATTTTCTGTGTTGTTTTCTGTCTTATCAGTGTGTGTGAATAAAAGAGATTTGCAAAGAATGAACACTGCCAGCCTGATATCTTACCCTTTTTCCAAAATGAATGTATTATGAGAGAGCAAAAGTGCTTCCTGTAAACACCATTAGTAGCTAACTGAACCAGGAAATTGATCGTCGAAGACAAATCACCCCAATCGCCAGCTTTTAAAAAAGAAACCCCACAGTGCTGGTTGAGAAGAGATGAGAGACAGTTGTGTTCATTATCACGTTCCACCTGAAAACACTTGCAGCGAAACTGCCTTTCTCCCAGAGGAGGAGGAGGTGAGAGCAACCGCTTGTCTCTAAGCATGTTATAATAGTGTCTTTGTGACCCCTGACCGTCTTCATTTGCTCACGGTCTCCTGGTAACTGCAGGAACACCAAACAGCTGCAGAGCCTCCATGCACTAGTCCGAAGTGTGGGCGATTGGTGACACAATATTGACGATTCAAGTGTCTCACACAAGAGGGATCACCTCATGTCAACCAAGAAGTAATGAGAAACACGGAAACAGCATGACAGCATCTCTGATCGTCTCTGAAATCACACGGCAAGCTTTTCAGTACATGAACAATAACAGAAACTCACTTCCATTGAAATCAGGATTGACACATCTAAACGCAGCGGTGATTAACGTTGATTACAGCAGCCAGACTCCCTGTCAGAATTATATGTCAGGATGAAAAACAACTTTAACTGAGGCTAATTTGACCCATAACAGAATATATTGCACAGCCTTCAGAGGCACCCGACTGTATTCATTTGGTAACGACAGGCATCATTACTCAAAGTGAATGAGATTACCCTAACCCTGAGGCCATCCCTATGAGGGACATGTTAATAACCTTCTCTCAAACAACGGGATCATTTACAAACATGATGACGCCATCCTCCCATCTCAGACCTGTTCAACAAAAGCTTTGGCCGTCAATCAACATAAAGCAGAGGTTAGGTGATGTGGGACGGTGAATTTAGATTTAATGAGAAAAATATAAAAACATATTAAATAAGGTGCAATTTACAAGGTGATTATGAAGCTGTTGTACTGCAACATCAGATATCACTGTCATTATTTCCCCAGCTAGACATACAGCTTCTCTTTTACCTAATTAATATTTCAACAGCATAATTACACATATCATGCAAGGCAATGTCATGTTTTGTTATAAGGCACTCTTACCTAGAGAAACTGGTGGTCCTTGATATAAACAGGTACATGACGCAGGGCTTTTAAACTATGAACACAGCAACAGCCTTGAGAAGTGAAAAGGATTGAGCCTGGGCTGAATAGTCCTTTTTCTCTGTCTTTTGTGCTCACTTTTATTCAATATGTGTATACACCAAAGGTGCAGTCTGCTCACGGATTGAATCTGCTGGCTGATTGTTGGCTTCATATTTTCAGGTGGCAGCTCTTTGAGCGACAGACACACATTTTTTATCAAAGGGTGCTGCCTTCAGCGTTATGCGATCTTCATTGCTAAACAATGCGGCGACTCTGAGGCTGAAGGAGCTAATAACTCATTCTCAGATGACAGTGATTCAGTCTGAAAAGACGTTCAGGACTCAGAGATATGAAGAAAGGTCTACAATCAAAGGTCTTCAGCTGAAATCAAGCTCCACCGAGGGAAGGCTTATGGCTGTAATCATTTGGCATACATTTTGAGAAATTCCCAACACATCTGTACTCTCTACCTGTATTCTTGTATACATAGAGGGTTGGTAAATAACATTACATGACCGATTGTTGGGGATTTGAGCCATTTAAGCAGCATGCCTCTGTAGCAATGTCAGTTTGCTGGTTGGTTGATCCACCACTTGCTGACTGAAATATGTATTTACTTATTTATTGGATGGATTGCTATGAAATTGCTTTACTTAAAGGTGGGGTAGGTAATTTTGGAGAAACCAGCTCGAGATCGCTAGAATTTGAAAATACACAGCCGGAGAAAATCTGCCACTTCCTTACAGAGCTCCTCCTCCAACACACACGAACGCGCACATGACCAATGAGGGCACGAGATAAGTTTGTGCACAGATGGAAGGCTGACAGGCAGGTAGGCCATCCAGTTATTTTAGCCGGGCCGGCTAAAATGATTGGTCGTACTTTTTACAGTACTACGGCTTCCACAGATGACATTTTTTTATGGATTTTTTGTCAAAGGACTTAAGATATTCATTGCTATCGGGATGTTAAGAGCGTTCCATGGAATATAACAAAAAGTGTATCTCGAGCCGGTTTCTCAAACTTACCTACCCCACCTTTAATCAACCTCAGCTATACTTTGTGTTAAGTGACAGAGACATTGAATAAAATAATGATTGAAACCTCTGTTGCACATTCAATGTTTTTTTTTATTGTACTTTTATATACAACATTGCAGCTTTACATTACAAACAAACACATTTGGATTTTATACCCAAACTGATATTAAAGTGTAAGATCTACACTCTACAATGGATCATACTGATGATGGCTTTGTTTTATAAGTTTAGCCTGGTAGTGGTACCTCTAATGGGATATCAAACTACACGAAATACAATCAAATACGATGTTGTGGTTGAGTGAGCTCGCTTGCCAAACCAGAACCAACTGGTTAGCCCTAAGAATGAAAAAAAAACTCCCCAGCTGGTTCTTGGAGCAAGCTCAAGCAAACACTCACAGCATTTACAAAAAAAAACTGTAATGGCATTTTTTTCCCAAATCATTTTCACCAGGTTGATCTTTTTCATTGGTTCGTTTCCCAGCCTTGCCACCAAGAAGGGAGAGGACCTCAAAAGTGTTCATCCCTGCCACGACAACACAATATTTCCTGAGAGAACTAAAAGAAAGAGCAGTGATGGATGTTCAGGGTGACAATACACACACACACACACACACACACACACACACACACACACACACACACACACACACACACACACACACACACACACACACACACACACACACACACACACACACACACACACACACACACACACACACACACACACACACACACACACACACACACACACATCCTTCAGGGACACAGATGCAGACAGCTCCCACTGCTTCTGTCTGAGTCCTCTACTCAACATGGGAGGGGGGGGGGGGGGGGGGGCAGATGGACCCATAGGCGTTGTGATAAAGATTCTCGGTCTGGATCCAATCCATTCAACACTATGGGTGTTTTCATTCAGAGCCAAAGGAAGTCCTGACCTGTGTGCCGTTTTCACAGTTCTGGTAACCCTCTTTTTTATCAGCTGCTCTTCTCTTGTGACAGGCGCATACACAATGTCACGTCCATCGGGGGGCTGATGGAAGAATAGCTGACTGATGTGGAAGTGGATAAAAAACAAGCGATTGAATAGAGGTGCTCCACCGGCATTTCGTTTGACTGGAAAATGTCAAAGAATAATAAATATGAGGCTAGGACGGCAAGTGAGACAAAACCTTTCATATAGACTGGATGGTCAGCTTGTACAATCTGTTAAAAATACTGAACATTTAGTACATTACAACTCAGCAAGTCAATCATTTGTGAAAACACTGGCCCCCCAACCACACACTCTTGAAAAAAAGCCAAAAACATTATGATAATTTATGTTTGTTTAAAAGGCCAGTCATTCTTATAAATGACATTGCTAAAAGACACAGAGTCCCTGTTGTCTCTTTCATCAAATTAGAGTACAAGGCCAAACCAAACTGGTTATGAGGACACAATACAAATAGGGGTCCACATTTTAACTGCACACACAAATGGAATACTTTCAAGTTGAAGAGTACATTTCCTTTTAGCACCTTGTTGAATAATTTACAGGTAGCATACTGCTGATCGGCTCACATCAACACATCACACCTTCAATGTTTAGTAACTATTACACAATCAAAGGTTTTCATCCTCACGCTTCTCATTAAAGCATTTCAGTTGACAGATAGCGTCAATTTCAATCCAGCTACAGCATACACTCTGTAACTCTATTCTGCTTTGATGATTCCCTTCAAGCAGATAAATGGTTCTCATGTTCTGTTAATTTGCTCATTTTCCGTCTGTCTGACTGTAATCCCTTCTCTTTTTTTGTATAACTGTGCCTCTTAGATGGCAGGCTATCACAAGCACTCAGGCTCCAACAGACCCACTGAATTTTCATCAGTTCCTGTTCATCCACTTCTAGTTGACCCTCCAACTCAGCAGCAACATGTCCCTCACACCGGTGTGGTCCTGTGATTCACCCCGTCCTTTAAATCAGTGGTAAAACAGTTATGGACCTGGAGGAACTCAGCACCAGACTCGTGTTCTGGGCTGTACGTGTTGTCCGTCGCACTGTCCCTCGCCAGCGCGTACATGGACAGCTCGTCCAGGGGCCCACTGGAAGATGGCCTCCCCTTCAGACCGACCCCAGGAGAGTTCTCCCTCGAGGCCTCCGTCGAATGAGAGCTGGCGTGTGATGTCCGCCGGCGATAACGGAAGCTGGGTATCCTTGAGTACGGGGAAGAGGAAGAGAGCGAACGGATGAACTCGCGCCGCGCCTTCCAGCGAACTTCCTTGTTCCTCTCAATGTAGATGTTGATGGCGAGGACTGCCACAGTTTCGGCAACGATGAAGGACAAGGCGCCAAAGTAGAACGACCAGCCGTAAGAGTAAGTGTACTTCTTGTCATCGTCGCGTTTATCACTGGGGTCTCCCGCATTGCTGGAGATGTAGACAATTATGCCTATTATGTTGCTCAGACCTGATAAAAAAGAAACAGAGACAAGGAAGAGAATCAGGGAAAGGGAAGGTCATGGATGGATATATTGAAAGGCCTATACAGGACCTGTCAGCCTTAACCTTCATAATATTCAAAGACACGTTCTAAACAGGAAGAGAGAATTTAAAAAGACCACAAAGAAATATATAATGACCACAGAGATACAAAAAGTCTACAAGGACACAAAAAAGAGCATTTTTTCACCAAGAGATATGAAATAAAAAGTCAGGAAAATGTACTAAATGCTACCAGGCAAATAGTACCTATAAAAAGACCCAAACAATTATAAACTGCTACACAAAACAACTACATAGAGTCACAACATGACCACATCAAGGAGACACAAAACCACAGAGATGCATAACGACTAAGACTTGCAAAACGACAAAAAGGGACAAATCACAGACAAAGAATAACAAGGGCAGAAATTAACACATAGATACACAACATTACCAGAAAGACAGATACACCAACATCAGGGAAAACAGAACCATAGGATAGAGGCCTAACAACCATAAAGACACACATCAATGACAAAAAGCTACTGTATATGGGCCATGACTCTATTAATAATGGATCCCAGGAACTCCCACTGTGTAAGTCAGTGATTACTGAGTGACTCTCATCACTACAGTAACCCCTAATAACATGTGTCCTCATCACTTGTGTGTCGGGTCCATGACCCTGACCTTCTTCCAGAGGGAATACAGTTCTGTATGATTGCACCCTTGATGAAGCACAATAGGTTATCAGAGGGGCCACACCAAGCTGCCTTAGCCCATTATAAAAACCCCAGCCTATAGGTGATTGCTGCTCTCTGTAATCCTGCAGCTCACCTGCAGCTACAAAGAGAATTCCTGCACTGAGGAAGACGTTGTTTGTCTTGTTGTAAACTCGACCCGCCCCGACACACAGCCCGCCGAACATCAGCAGGATGGTGCTGATGATGGGGAACACACTGGAGGCACGAACTATACCTACAGAGGCAGAGGAGAAAGGACACGACATGGTTCATAATGGATAAGTGATAAAAGGTCACCTATTGTGCAAAATCCACTTGTTCATGTCTTTTCATAAACATGTGTCCCCTCTGTGGAAAGAGATTCTGAAAGTTTCAGGAAAAAAGATTAACTCACTTTTTGTCCTGATCCATTTATATAAAAACTGAAAATGAGCTGATCAGATTTTGGCCACTTTATGATCGCATTACGATTTTTTGGCTTGTGTAACCATTAGCCAATAGGTAACCCCCCCCCCCCCCCCCCCACCTTATCACCTGAATCTCCTCCTAGAGCACCATTGTGTTCTTTTTAACCAAATATCTCTCAGAGGGGCGTGGGGAGTGGCTCCTTATTTTCATCTAAAGTAACAGACAGAGAATCAGCACTTTTGAAACAGGGCTGAAACAGAGGGGATTATGGGATGCTGCAATGCATGATCTGTTTGGTATTTGGAGCCAAACACTTCAGAGACATGTTTTGTATATATCTGAGACCTATAATATGTTGAGGAAAAACAGTATAATAGGAAAAACAGTATAATAGGAAAAACAGTATGATAGGGGACCTTTAAATTATTTTAAATGGTTATAAGGAGGACATACAGCGCTTCTCTAGTCTTTAAGACCCCTCAAAGTGCTTTCACAATCAATCCCTCCATTCACACCCATTCATTTTGACTTTGTGGGGACCTGATTTTTCTCAGACCCACCACCATCTCTTCTACCATCTATTTCTGAGAACTTCTTTATTACTTTTACTCTGTGACCTTGTTATGACAAAGTTTTGACAATCGGCTGCAGGAGGTATATGAGCTCTCCCACTGACCCTCACCTCCCCCAGGAATGAGTCACTGTGCCATTTTACAAGTTTCCAAGGTTGGGTGAGCTTATTCACTGAAAAGTATTTTAATAAGCCCTCATTAGGACAGTCTAATAAGATGTATGTGTGCTTCTTCACATATAAGGCAGATGCAGAATTGGATGTGCACTAAATGAAGGTCTTTTGCTGATTGAATAATCCAATGTTAAGTCAAGAATTAGCAGAAATATGTATAAGCCTTGACATAATCATTTATAAACAGCTTTCACAGAACAAAAAAAACCTCCATTTTTTTTTTAAAGAAGCAGAAAGGTTATAACTATTTTTTTGCCAATGATGTTCAGATTCAGGGTTAACAAGTTAATACTCACAATAGGATTTATGTAACATAAGAGAAAAAAGGGAAAGCAAGGACAAATCTGATCCTGCAGCATCGTCAATGAAAACATTATTGCACTGCAGATAGAGCTATATTCTAAATGTGAGCTCTATTGGAAACCAAGCAATTGAGGGACCCAACATTACTTTTTGAAAGTTTACTTAAAGGTGAGGTAGGTCAGTTTGAGAAACCGGCTCGAGATACACTTTTTGTTATATTCCATGGAATGCTCTTAACATCCCGATAGCAATGAATATCTTAAGACAAAAAATCCATAAAAAAATGTCATCTGTGGAAGCTGTAGTACTGTAAAAAGTACGACCAATCATTTTAGCCGGCCCGGCTAAAATAACTGGATGGCCTACCTGCCTGTCAGCCTTCCATCTGTGCACAAACTTATCTCGTGCCCTCATTGGTCATGTGCGCGTTCGTGTGTGTTGGAGGAGGGGCTCTATAAGGAAGTGGCAGATTTTCTCCGGTTGTGTATTTTCAAATTCTAGCGCACTCGAGCTGGTTTCTCCGAAATTACCTACCCCACCTTTAAAAGTCTTTATTATTGCTTTTAAATCGATGCAAAGAATGTAGACAAATAACATGGGTTGTTAGTTTGATACAGAAATGCTTGAAATCTTATCCTGTCTTTCTGAATGCTGACACATTTTATCTGCTCACTTTCTCTGCCACTTTCAGCATTTCTCTCAATAAAAGCTTATTGTCTGTTTGGAGGCTGCTCGCAGAGATAGAAAATAAGAGGATGAAGGTCAGTGGACTTCCTGCATGTCCTTACAAATAAAGAAAGACGAGGGCCAGACAAAGAGTGGAAGGGAGCACTCACGCAGCAGGTATTCAGAGCTGTCTGTGTCATAGTCGTTGTCGTCCGGAAAATGGTTGATTCTGAAACAGCTGCCTTGATTGATGCCTGCAGGACAAAGAGAAAAATGTTCCATATTAATTATAGTCCACAAGTTGATATGACAGCATCATAACAGAGCCGACCAGCTAACCAATCAGAGCAGTCTGGGCTCTGGTCTCAGACAGAGGGAGAAAATAGGTGCAGCACAGGCAGTATGAGAAAAATACCTTTTTGGACATACTTTAATGTCACCGTCGAAGAGTTGTTAAATACCAACCATGTGCAATATGTGCAATATATATATGCCGTGAATAATTGTGCAATATGGCTGCTACATCTCCAGAACTGTTACTGACTGGTTATTTTGTAAATTGTGTAATTCTTTTTTTTTTATTCATACTTATTTGTTAAACATTAAGCTGTCTTTGGCTCTTTTCTGCTGTAACAAATGTAAATGTCCCCTCTGTGGAACGAATAAAGGTATTCTGATTCTGATTCTGGAAAAAAAAATATGGAAATGAGCATAATAGGGCCCCTTTAATCAACATTTAGGAAAAACAATAGGAGAAAAGTTCAAGGTAAACTGGATTTATTTGTTTTTTGGGGTAGATTTTGATGCAAATCCATCAAACTCCAGTAGGTCTTCGCTTATAAAGGATGTGCGGGTGCTGGAGTCAGAGCCATAGTGTGTAAGTGTGTAAAACTGTGTCCAATGGAGTAAAATGCTCATGTGATTTTGTCGTCTGATAAGAGAAAAAGGAGTAGGAAGTCATTTCTCGAAGGACCTCTAAAGAGCTGTTTCTTGAGAAATAATACAGGAGCACCAGGATGTTATTTCAGTTATTTACTGTATAGACTCCTTCATAGCTTTTGTCGGATGGCATACTCTGGATCCATTCATATAGCTCTCTAGGATTAACCCATTACCCTGAATGGTTTTACATTCCAACCATCAATGAGACTTGACCTTCGGCCTAAACTTTTTAAAAGTGCTTTACTAAAGATCACAGCTCAATGCACTCATATTTCAGAAAGAAAGCAAATGAGAGGAGGGCTTATGTTTGTGTGTGTCTGGGATCAGTGCAGACGCTAGACTGTGAGATAAAAAATGTGTTGCCCTGAGGGACTTCATGGCTAGTGGAGCGTGTCCAAATCCAGCTCAGGTAAATGGGTGAGTGTGGTGGGGACAGGAAGCCAATTTAAACAACAAAGGACCGTGTGCACGAAGCTTTTAATGCAGAGGTGGGTTAGAAAGGGAGATGGAGTGGCGGGTGGGATACTAAGAGAGCGGGGGGGGGGAACTGTATCCGTAATTGTGCAGGGTAATAAACAACACCTTACCCAGAGAAAAAAGGGGTGGGGGTGGGGTTAATGGATGCACGCTGTGTAGTGGAGGTAATGCTGGGAGCTCTTTGGCTCTCTCATCATTTGGGCTGTGAATAATCACTTTAGTTATTTCTGCAAGCGACACCCACAGTATCAAAGAGGGGCTGGGCTGTGATCACATTTGCATATTCTTTCATGAGCATATGTACGTTTTTTTGTGTGCATCATGTGCGTATCTTTGCGTTTGTCTGCATCCCTGAGATAAACAGGTGACACGCCAGCCTTAGTTACTGTTGCTACGTCTGTCAAGCATTGGGTTCCCACAGCACATAATGCGTTTTACCATGGTGGCATTTTCCTCTTGAAATAAGACTTTGGTTTCACATTTAGGTGGGCAGAATCAGGCTTCACATTACACGGCTGTACCTAGCCTTCTAATTAAGCTAATGTTAGCTGAGTTTAAAATGGCCTCTCCTTGAGGACTTACAGTACAGGTACCTCATTAAAATAAAACCTTTGTCACAAGGACCTATAAGTTCAGCCTATTCTCCTAAAATGTAAGTTTCTAAAAAACGATACTGCATTGTCAAAAGATATTGTCTCTTTTCTGATTACATTCATTTTTGTATGTTTTACAAATACGTTGCTCATCGTAATTTGTGGAAGAGGAGACTGCTGTTTGTGTCCTGTGTGATTATTGTTTTGTTTTTTTCATTTAAAAACATTTACCATGTGTTTAAAACTGCAAACGTAATATTGGTCGGATTAAGAATGCAATAAGGGAGTATGTGATCTTAATTTTGTGGGAGACAAAGGTCACACCAATACATTTCTTTAAATGCTAAATTATTGTACAATCACTTTTTGGTGGCAGTTGTGAGGAGCTTAGGAAAGAGTCAATCCTTAGCTTTGCCTTTTTCTGTAAGCAATGCATTTCTTGTCCCATATCAGAAGAAATACAAAGTCCTATTTTCCTCTCGAATGGGCTAACAGGCAGCAGACATTAGAGCTGATGACCAACCATGATATATGTCAACCTTTTCCGTAACTAATTGTGTCCGAGACAGACAGACACCTGTCAACTCCATTTCCCAGGTGTCAAAGGGTCAACAGCCATCATCGTCTGTGACACAGCTTTTAAGGGCACGCTTGCTTCCATTAACTAGGTCTATTGCCTTATAAGGGACATCAAATTAATTAGCTTCAAATCAGTCAGTGGAAATGGAGCAAGAGCTTCTGTGTCTAATCACTGATGGACAAAATGGCTGTGGATTATTTTAAGCAACGGTGTGAGACTTTGAGACTTGTGAAAAAAACACATCTGGCTCCTGTGGTTGGATCAAGAACTGTGAAGATAACAAAAATACTGACACCTTTGCTGTCCTGCTAATGTCTGTGTAAACACTAAATCAGCTGCAGCAACACGAGCTTGTAGCATATTTTAGACATGCACACAAAAACATACAGTTCGCCATGAACACAGAACACTTCTATTACGTTGATGTTCCCTTTTACTGCTCTGACTCCAGACCCCAGCTGTGTGTGTGTGTGTGTGTGTGTGTGTGTGTGTGTGTGTGTGTGTGTGTGTGTGTGTGTGTGTGTGTGTGTGTGTGTGTGTGTGCGTGTGTGTGTGTGTGTGTGTGTGTGTGTGAAATTGAAGTCTGAATACTGAATAGCTGGGAGGGAAGGAGGAGGGAGGGCGCGGAGATTCAACGAGGGAAGAAGGTGGAAGGAAATGAAACAACGAAAGCATAGGGGGCAAGGGAATGATGGGGATGAAGGAAAAGATAGAAGGCCAATAAAGTGGGACTCAGTCAGAGGAGGAGAGCAGGGAAATCCTGAAAGGTAGATAGAGCAATATAGGGCTAAATGTGTTTTAAAATGTTGTGCAATAGGGGTCAGAGGACAGTTGTGCAATGTATAATCTGTGAAAGTGGAAAAGGAGCCTGCCTTGTGTGTGTTTTTCTTTCTTTGGGCTGTGAACAATTTAGAATTCATCTGACACAATCACAACATTAATGGGAAATAATGGGTTTCTTGGGCTTGAGTTGCAAAGCTACATGCTGAGCATCACATCCTCTTCACCATGGCAACCGCTGGTAGCCTAAGCTCATTTACATAAACTATCTCCGAGGATACTTTTTGACGTCTTCATTATATTTTGAACATTACCAAGTAGGAGAAGGCACTTCCCTGGTAAACCCCTTTGTCACTTAACAGTATGACTGCCAGCTAAAACATGTGTACACACACAGACATACACACAGACAGACAGACACACACACACACATACACATACACACTGTGGGTTGGTAGCAGCTGTAGTGCCACTGGCAACAGGATGATGCATATCCTCATTACTTTGAATTAGGACTGCAGAGCCAATAAGGGAGCAGCCTCGGTGGAATACACCAATAGCATTGTCTCATCGAGACCAACAGCAGACTCCGGTGTGAGTGCAGTATATCATGACAACGAGCTCCACGAGACACATGCCCTCACTTCTTAGCCTTCACACCTTAATGGCTCTGCAAATAGATTGACGAATAAGCCAATCAGAAGTGACTTTCATATTGCAGTTCACTATAACTGGGTATCCTCCAGTGGGTGATACACTTTCTGTAACACTACTTATGACAGATCTACAGCAAAAGGAGTAGCAGCGATGTAACCATATTCTGCTTTGTTTTTCTCTTTGATGCTTTATTTAGTTTACAGCAGGTGGTTATGAAGCTGTAAACAGGTAGAGCACTGTCGCTGTCTGGGGCTTCATATCAAATGCAGACATGCACGCACAACTCACGGAGACTTCACATGCATTTATTACTTTGGAGGCAGGGAATGCCAATACCAAGTATAAAGCCACTGTGAAATCAAACAAACCCCTCCAATTTCTTTCGAAGCCCAAGTGAGGATGAAAGAAAATAAATGACAAAATAAGCTATTCGGTGTTGACATGACTGACAGTTAGTTAATTAAATTCTCACCATGCAGGAATTTCTTCAAACGCAGATCTGCTTGGGTGTAGTGTATGTAGTCTGTTTTGAAAACGGTTTGCCTTGTCACTTACTTATTCAAATGTACATATATAATGAATTATCAGTAGAATGCTTAAGTTGTTATGTCTGAGCGTGGATCAGTAAAACAGATCTGTAGCACTGCAGACCATAGGTTGTCTTGTACATGTTGTATATTTCCCATGTGGCTCAAAACAATAAGGACAATGTAATTTGAGAATAGTATGTGATGTTCATAAATAGAATCTTATTTCTTATTTCCAGTCTCATTCTAGAGTCATGAAACTACTTTGCAAAAAATCCCTGTTGCATACATGAACATAGAATATTTTCATAAAAGAGATTGAAATTACTTTTTTTATCCTGGTCCTTTTATTTTCACAAGATATTTAATGAATCCTTATATTGGTTTGAAGACAATGGCCTCAGAGGTAGAAAAAGGTTAAAAGCATTAAATATATGAAGAAAGTTTGGGAATTTAAGTATGTTTAAAGGTAGGGTAGGTAAGTTTGAGAAACCGGCTCGAGATCGCTAGAATTTGAAAATACACAACCGGAGAAAATCTGCCACTTCCTTATAGAGCCCCTCCTCCAACACACACGAACGCGCACATGACCAATGAGGGCACGAGATAAGTTTGTGCACAGATGGAAGGCTGACAGGCAGGTAGGCCATCCAGTTATTTTAGCCGGGCCGGCTAAAATGATTGGTCGTACTTTTTACAGTATTACGGCTTCCACAGATGACATTTTTTTATGGATTTTTTGTCAAAGCACTTAAGATATTCATTGCTATCGGGATGTTAAGAGCATTCCATGGAATATAACAAAAAGTGTATCTCGAGCCGGTTTCTCAAACTTACCTACCCTACCTTTAAGTAAACATTTAGTTGAAATATTTCTTTAAAACTTCCTTGTTCAATTTCTAAATTGTGCTCCCATAAGTAAAATTATAAAGCAGAGTATACTTTAGGGCATGGCTACTTTGATGACCCTGATTATTTATTGTCTGGATGCTCTCCATGTTTCGTCTCAACTGTAACACTTTCACAGTGTGTTTCTCAGTTGCCTAAAAATGTTTGTTTTTTTAACATCTTGTACTTTGATGCACCCTACTTCTGGTTCTTAAGCACCAAGTTAGCGAGGGCCAAAAACCAACATAGCAGCGGTCCATCTGCTAAACCCGAGATTTCAAAACAGTAGTCCAACACCAAATGAGTTATATCAAGGTGACTACTTCCACTTTTGTACAGTCTATGATAACATTAAAAGTTTGACATTTGGGAAACACACATTCGCTTTTTTTAGAGAGTTAGATTAAACTCTAGATTGAACACTAGCCTGGCTCTGTCCTCAGGTTATCTGTTCATCAGCACCTGTTAAGCCCACTAATAACTTGCATAAAAATGACAGTGACCATGACCATTGTAAGTGTGGGTATTCACCTATTCACCTATTCACCTATTCACCTATTCACCTATTCATCTATAGATTCTTCTTACCATTGGGCAAAGTAAGAATAGTGGTTGATCTTTTTTCAAATCTTTATGCTAAACTAAGCAAACTGGCTGTTGGTGATAGCTTTAAATTTACCAAACGGACATTAAAGTAGTGTCTTAAAGTGCACGTATCATGCTATTTTTAGGCAATAGCATAGGTCTCAGATATATAAAAATATATAAAACATGTCTATGAAGTGTTTTGCTCAAAATACCAAACAGATCACCAATTCTAGACATGCCTCATATCCCTCCATTTCACTTCCTGTTTCAAAAGTGCTGATTTGGGGTATAAAGCTTTAAAAAAAAAAAAGATTGATAAAAAAAAAAAGAGGGGGCTGAGCTCATGCGGGAGATTCTACCGGCAGATACTGCGGTGATGAAACCATATCATGGATTATCAAGGATTATTTCTGAAACCGTATGGAGCTCAAAGGCTTTCTCTCCTGCCGGTTATACCACAAGGTGAGTTCCTTTTTATTTCCTGCTTCTTCACACACATGCTGTGCAGTACAGGTTAGCTCTGAGTGTTAGCGATGCTAATGTAAACATGCACCAACCATATTACGTCCAAAACAGTCGGGCATTGTTTCTGATAGCAACGTTTCTGATAGGGCCGTGGGTGTAAAGCCAGCCTACATTTCCGATATTACGTCATATCGGACCCAAATCTGGATCAGCTCCGTTGTAGCCCCGTTTTTAGAGATTTGGGTACGGAGGAAAAAAGAGAGGGTTTTATTTTCTGACGCTGCGTGAGTTCCCCGACACACCGGGGACACATATTTATGTGTAAAAGACATAAAAAAGTGCATTTTGCATGATAGGTCCCCTTTAAGAATATCAATAAGCTATTTTCCAAAAAAATTCTGTGAAGGTTATCGGCAAACATGGCTTGCATAGGTGATAGAAATATACTTTATTTAAAAGAAGAAGAAAAATAAATGAATGCATACTAAATTAAAGGAGGCAAGTTCGTGGGTAAGAACAGGGTGACAGGGTTCATTAAAAAAGTAGAATGAATCTCATAAAATAATTATGAGAATGGAGGAGTTGAACCTGTAAAGAGATTAGAAGAGGGAGAGGAGAGGGGGAGTCGCTGAGGTGAAAGTGGGGGCCTGATGGCTAATGAGTGACCCCGCATTGCTTCTCAGTTGTCACACTTTATGGTGTGCATGGTGGGAATGACAAAGTGACCCCCCCCCCCCCTAAACCCCTCCTAAACAAAACCTTTCTCTCAAACACTTCCAATGCCCCCCATGCCTCGACACTCACACTAAACCACTGCGAGCTGGGATGTTTAATGTAAAAGTATACCTGCTAATTGGATTATTTCTCCTTCTCAAAGTTTCATGTATTTGAGTCACACATAAGTAACAGCCTCTGATGCTTTACTGATTCTGATGCAATTAGGAGCATTCAGTGCCTCCCTGACCTTAAGGAATTCATAAGGAACAACAAGAAGTGCAGGGGGGAAAGCAAAACAGCTGTTGTAAATTGCATAAGTGGGGGTTGTGCTGACCCCACTGTAAAGGAGCCTCACGCTGGCTTGCTGGAGAAGAGGTGACTCCTAGAGCAGGGCGACTGGAAGCACTAACACATTGCATTGTGTTACAGCAGTTTGATGTCGCTGAAAGCTGTTCAGCCAAATGTTGAGATGTTTCCCCCCAGTAGCTGTGTTTGTCATTATGTGGGAGTGTCTGTGTGTGTATGTGTGTGTGCGTGTCGAGGGGGGGTAAGTCTTCCTTCCTAGTCTTCTCCTCTATAATTAGGTGTCTCCATGACAACAGAGCCAGCGTCCAGCAGCTTCTTGTAGTTTTCAAGCAGTGGCACAGAGGTGAAACTATTAGAGAGAATCATATTATGGGCCAACCTTTGTTTGTGCAAATGATGCACTCAAAGTCTCAGAGCCCCAACCTCATCAACAGTAATTTAGTCTCCACAGTTATTAATCCACCTTCAATATTTACTTCAAAGCTGATGGGAAATTATGTAAAACATAATTGTTGGCTGGCGTTTCACATTTATTGTTCATTTCTTGAGGTCTCAGAGGATGTTTTGCACGCTGTGAGTCTGTCCACATCACAGAAAGGTGCACTCCGAAGCAGGACTCTTAGTAAACTGTAAAGAGTTATAACACATCAGGGAATTGCTTCACGTCTCTGAAGCGTCCATCTTCCTGCAACAGTTTAATCATTGATGACAGCTCCCTGGGCCCTGATGACATTATGTCTTGAAAATATAGTGAGCTCAATCCAATCCACCTATTGAGAGGCTCCTGATCTGACATCAAATATAAGCACGTTTTATTGTATAGAAGTATCTAGTTTCTGCGCAGTATGTTTGTCTCATAGTATAAAGTGGAAAAAGATTCCGCTGGTTTTTTTGGGCAAAGAAAGAAAACATAATAACTTATTGTAATGTATAAATGTTTTGTCATCAATCAATTAGACAGTCAAAAGAAAATGATCAAATGTCTTTCTGTTTAGTAACTGATGTAATGTTCCAGATATGACAATAATGCTATCTCATATCAGCTGCATCTGTATGGACACCTCCTATAAACATGCCTCTGTATCTTGTAATAGCTGAATTGAATGTCTGGCCGTTTTCTAAACGACATGATGTATTTGTATAGAGTTTCAAATTAAATTACATTAGTGGCATGCACACACAAGGAACACCATGTTTGCAACTGTATTGTTCAATTATTTACTTACATCTTATTTTGGTTGTACTTCCAAACTGTCTCTAGACACATTCTGAAAAGATGTGAGTTTACTTTGTTTGCTTTAATTAAACCACTACATATTTTTCTATTAATATCTCTGTCGAGATATGAGAAAATACAGTCACATCAAATCACTCTTTGATATCTGAAGCGAGAAGTCAAAGGGTTGTCCGGAAGGAGCTCCATGAATGAGCGCCTGTCTGCCTCTGAAGTAAAACGTCACCGTCAGCTCACCTCCTTTCCCAATATCAAACGCGTAAAAGGATTCAACAACATGAAATTGGACCTCACAAAAACAATTTGTTTTTCTTTCTAATTTGCTTGGACATGACGTGAACCCAGAGTAATCTATTTTGATATCACTGGGCATGTTTCCATAGCAATTTCAGGGATGTTGCCAAGCAACAGCATTGGATACAATGAAGACATGAATGAAAGTAATAACAGCGCACACATTTCCGGCTTGAATGTGAATGGGCTCGCAGGCGCGCCGGCTTGGCATCGCATACTGTTACAGACTTTAACACAGCCTTGTTTATTGTGTGGGCATATGTTACAACAATGCGATGTAACAGTTAGCAGGCAGCCTGAGATGAGCGCTTTGCGGGACACCAGCCGCTGTTTTCTTGTTAATCTGCTACTTTAGCTGTGTTTAAATCATCACGTGTCTGTGATCTATATCCTCTGAAAGTTGTTCCACCTGTATGATCTTTGCTTTTTGACTCTACATCTTCCAATTAAGACATGTTGGCGTGCGTAAAGAGAGTTCGTCCTTTTGTGCGCACTGAGGAACCAAATATTCCTCCTTATTTGTTGTGATAAAAGAACAGGGAACCAAGCAAACCACCACCTAGAGCCCTCCACGTGTTAACGCCTATGAACCTCAATGAGAGTAGCCCTGGAACAGGCTTACCTTCAATACAGCAGATTCTCCACAGCCCGGAGTGGGTGAGATCGCCCTTTTTGGTTCTGGGCTGCGACTGACTCTCTTCTGATGAGGCATTGGTGCTGTTGCAGATGTACGCCCGCGAATAGAGCCAGTAGTCCGTGCCGATTGCGATGGTCATCAGGCTGAAGGCAGCGAAAGCCCCGAAGCTGGCCAGCAGCGTTTGAACCCCGCGGTCACACCAAGCCATGGCGCTTCATACTAGTCCATACGCTCACCGGTCCAACATGCGCTCAGAGGAGCGCGTCAGGGCGCGGAAGCTTTGGTCATACTTTTAGGTTTAGGTGCGTCCACTATCTGCTCCTCTGCTTAAAAATAAACTATAGCCCAGACAAAGAAGGGAAAAGGAGCAGGAATATTATCTGAAACGCTCACTTGATGCTCAAAACATACTGGTTGCAGCGGTGAAAGTGAGATGACACCAGTTGTGCCCACTCCGGAGGCTCCACACAGGTTTTAAGCGCGCCTGGAAACACGACTGCAACATCGTGTACAAATGCAGAACCCTTCAAACCTCTTCACCACTTCAGTATTCCGTTTATCCCCTTTATCTTCGCCTCAAAAAAACACTTTGCTCTGTTCCTACACTGACTACGCCTCTGTTAAAAGCCATTGCCAAAGAGGATACGTCAATGGCTCCAAAGTAAGACCCCACCCTTGCCAAATCTAACCAATGAAGGTGCTGTTGAACAAAGAAAGAAAACATCTGAGACATTAAAATGTACAATTGGATCACTAATGAATTTAAAACATGTGGAATATTTGGGGAATAAATATGTACTCTCTCAGCTGAGACATTTGGATACTCTCCACTGAATTCAGAAGCTATGCATATTACCTAATTCTGAGTCAGCTGTCACAAGGATGATGGGGGTTGGGGATTGAAATAATGACAGACTTTGACACAAGGGTGCTTCTCTGTGGTGCACTAACGCCAAACAACAATCCCCCATGGAACAGAGCATTAGAAAAGCAATTAGATGCTTGCGTGCATGTTATGACACTGTAAATCACAGAGGTACTAAGGATTTCCCAAGATCTTTACAGCAGAGCATATCCAAAGTAAATCTACGGATAGAAGATGGATGGATGGATGGATGGATTGAGGGGTTGAGGGGTTGAGGGATTGAGGGATAGTTTAATTAAATACATTAATGCACATCACACCATGCAAACAATATCTTGTTCTTTTTAATATTTTAAATCCTGCACATTTCTGCTCCATGCTACCTCTTTTTTTAAATCAGCATAACACTCCACTTTGAATATAGTATTGTCATATTTTATTACATTTTACTGCACTCAGTTTCCTACATAACTATATTTTGTGTAAATATTTTCTATATTTTTCATTTGTTGCAATAGTCTTAGCTTTTATATTTGTTTTTATTTGTTTTTATTTGTGGTTACGTTCTTTCTGTGTCTCGTGCACCACTTTTACCAAAACAAATTCCTTGTGTGTAAACCTTGGTAATAAAAGTTATTCTGATTCTGAGATAGATACTTGTTGCACAGCCAAAAAAGGCTTGACTAGCAACGTGTGTCTCATTACTGAATAAAATCAATGTAGCAAAACATTCTGAGGAAAAATAATGAATAACTTACACATTTTCCAGTGCTCAGCCATACTTACACAAACGTTTCCTTCCCCTGATTCTTACTTTGATCATGCAGCTCACAAAATGGTTTATTAAACATGCAGAAATTGCCAATTATGCCCATGTGAAAACCATGAAGACATGCTTCATCTCTGAGCCAGATGGAAGGTTTCAAACTAGCCCGGGAAACACATTATTTGATGGCTTAGACTGGCAAGCTGCCTCTGGCTTGATAGAAAACATCTCTGAATAGTTCTGCCAGTCTGGTTTCAGCAGAAATACAACCAGCAGGCAGGTTTATTCACCCCATGCAGTTCATTTTAGAAAAAAAGCTTTTGTGCTTGTCAATTTAGAATGTGAAACATCAGTAGAAAAACAGCTTTCAAAAAGCAAACCACCTGAGGATGCCCTGATAATAAAATAAAACAGTGCATGGCTAAGTAGTCTGAGCAGGAGTGAAGGTATAAAATGTCTGTGTGAAGCTGTTTCTACTTCTAGCCAACTATTCCTCAGTGGATCTGTCTCTCTTGATTGTATTTCTAAAAAGGCAGTAATTTAGGAGGGCATTCCATTCTGTCAGGTGAATGAGTGAACACCACAAGAATGCTAATTTCATTTAATCTTAAAAATCCCTTGCAGGCATATTTTAAAACGTATGCAAATGGACTGCTTGTTTACATATGTTATCTATTATTTCTTCCGCAACTAAGTTAAAGATCCATAAATGTCATCTTCTCCTTCTCCCTCAGTTAAAATATATATTTTTTAAAGCAAATATTATTTGTTTCTGTTTTGTTATTAGATATACGAGACCCTACAGTAAAATACATGTTCAGATGTTAAACTTATATTTCAAATGAACAAAGAGAAACTATCCACCTTCAGGTAATACAATTAAAAAATCTGCACATTGTATTCAAAGAAAAGTTTAAATCAGAGAAATACATTTTTTGAGTGGGTAAATAAACATTTAAATATCATCAGTTTGAGAAGGTGTAATGCAGGAGAGATTATAATAATAATTCAGTACATTTTTTATTTAGAGCGCTTTTCACTTGATAAAAGTCTATAAAACCAGCCAACAGTTTTTGAAGCCAACAGGTTTAAACCTTTTATAAACTTATATTTGATAGTTTATGAAAAGTATTGGTAATTATGAAAGTCTTAATCAATATCCTAATATTATCCTAATATGGCTATTTACTGTGCTTGTTGATCAGACGGTCATACAATGCTTTCTTTATTTGTATAATGTATGAACTATAAGAGGATTGTTTTGATATATTGAATTAATTAATATAACATCTAGTGGCGTTTTAACTTCTGCAGCCCTGATGATGGCGCAAATTCGCAGCAGCACTGGAGAAAAAAGGAAACGGTGATAAAAGTACTACCAGAGATGTATTACATGAGTCTGAGAAAGAAAATCACAAGGAATGGGCAGTGACGTCACGGTAACGGTGCCCCGGTGTATAACGCGCATGCGCATTGCTATACGGTGCCCATTCTCGCAATGGATATGGCGGACTGTCAATGCGCCTGTGCCGGAGTGTACGTGACGTCAGAGTCTGCTCCTTGTTGCTTTTCTAGCCAACATGTGAACAAAGGCCTGCCCCTTTTCAGGAGGATTTCTCTACCGCAATCGTTACTTTACGTGTAATCACGATTACTAAATCGGATTACGCTACTTTTATTATATTTCAAGACGTCGGTAACAACAGAGATGATTTCCGAGATGGAGGTTGATCACAATGAAAGCAGCGTCGAGATCAAATCGGCCATGCATACTTGGCGTTATCGCCACCATTTCACGTACAAGGCAGATCAAGGAAAAAATATCATCGTGCAGTGTAATCTATGTCTGCCGAGGGTAAATCTGCTATCCACGTCGAAAACCTCCACATCAAACCTAAAGAAGCATTTAGACGTAAGTTACACAGAGCCAGATGACTTCCCGTTCCCCTTTATGTTAATGTTTGAAAGAGTCAATGAATGCAGAGCTACCCTCGTGATTAATAACGTTACATTGTAGCTACATGTACATTACATACTCCAGGCGCTGGAGGCTCTTTGTGTTCAACTTTGATGAAAAAACAACCCTTTTACAAGTGGTATTTTTAGTTTTTTCATTGCATATGAAGTTAAATGAAAACTCAGAACATAAAACTCACAAGCAACAATTACACGCCTCCCACCACTAACATGTTGGCGTTTTGTCTTGCAGAGAACACACTTGGGCTGTGAAGCCAAGCCTGATGTCAAGAGGGGGAGGAAGAAAGAAGAGTACAACGGTGAGGAGAGTAGGCACTGCCAACTCAAAAAACTAAAAGCAGAAATAATCTCCAAATGCATGACCCAAACAAAAATCGATGAGCTGATATTCAACTTCATTGTGGAGGATTGCCAGTCATTTTACGTGCTGGAGCAACCTGGATTCAGGAAGCTGGTTGCAGGCTTAACTGAAGGGCTGAGGTCCATGGACAGAGTGACCTTGTTCACAAAGGTGGACCAGGGTTTCTCCAGGATGCGGGAAGAGCTGATGGAGAAACTCAGCAGCATCCAGTATGTGTGCACCACGGCTGACATCTGGACAGCCAACAGCAGGAGCTTCTTCGGGATGACCTGCCACTGGATCGACAAACATTCTCTGGAGAGGAAATCTGCGGCTCTGGGGTTTGCACGGCTGCAGGGCAGAATCACGCACGACACCATCGCTGGACGCATACATGACATCCACGTGGCGTACAATATTGAAAGTAAAGTTCAGACCACGGTCACTGATAATGGCAGCCCCTTCATCAGCGTGTTCAGGGAGTTTGCAGTGGACAGCAAGGAAAGTGATGATGACATCGGTTTCTATGAGAACGTGAGCACCGTCCTGGAGGGTGAGCCAGAGCAGGACATGCTCCTGTTTCTGCCCACTGTACAGCGCTGTGCCTCACACACCCTGGAGCTGATAGTCACTGAGGACTTCTGGCAGGCTGTGTCCCAGGGGCCCATGTGCCAGCTACATTACAGCACAATGGCCAAGGTGTATGCCGTCTGGAACAAATGCCACCATCTCCAGGTCGGTATGGATTCAGCAGAGGAGATTGGAAAGATGGCGCTTGTTGTTCCGGCTGTCATACGCTGGAATGTGGAGTACTGTGCTGTGCAGAAGATCGTCTCCCTCTCTGAGCGGGAGCTGACAGAGTTGTGCGCCCGCCTGGAGGTCCCACGCATGCAGCCAGAGGAGATGGCCTTCCTGAAAGAATACGTGACGGTGTTCCACCCGCTCGCTTTTGCACTTGAACTTTTCCAAGCGGAGCAGAAATGTTACCTGGGTCTAGTCATCCCGACCGTACTCAGTCTGAAGAACAAGCTAAATGAGCAGAAAGACTCTGCAACTTACTTAAGCGGGGTCATCAACGCCATCGTGGTGGCTATTGATTTGCGGTTCCAGGAGCTGTTCGCCAGCACAGAAGCTAAGATTGCAACAGCGACGACGCCTCAGTTTCGTTTGCTGTGGATGGCTGCCTCCGACAGAGAGGAGATGTGCGCCGTGCTGGCTACAGAGGCAGCCCAGATGGATCCAGGCACCATAACTGAGCCAAACACCAGCCGAAGCTCATCAAACACCATTGAAACTGAAGATGACTTCTTCAGCTACGGGTCTGTGAAGCCTGCCATTCAGATCCAGCAACGGGGAGTGATGGAGGAGATCCGCAAGTATGTGGAAGGAACGGGGAAGAGCCTAGAGTGCCTTCAGGACTTCCCCAGAATGAAGCAGCTCTTCTTAAAATACAACACAACTCTGCCATCCACGGCCCCCATCCAGCGTCTCTTCAGTCAGAAAGGCAACCTGGTCACCTCACAGAGAAACTTTCTGACCGACGATTACTTCGAACGCATTCAGCTCCTGAGATACAACAGTAACGTGTGTACTTTGGTCACTGAGTGAAAACATTGCCGGGGACTCTCTCGCTCAGCCTTTTAATTGATTCAAAATCAAAACCATTTTGTGCTCAAAGTCATTACTGATAAACCCTTAGTAATATCTCATTTCAGACAATTAAGCCCGGATGTTTTTTTGTTTTTAAATATTACTCTTATCTTTTTTTAATAGTCATAGTGTATATCTCCCTCTCTGAAGGGCCTCATGAAATATATTTGTTGACAATCACGGACAATGACATTCAAGGACTGATCTAATGTGACAAAAGCATCTTTCTAGCTGTGCTATTGTTGTGATTTGAAGTAGCCACAGGGTTAAACCCAAGTGAGTTCCTCTTTCAGTTAGGTTTGTTTTTTTCTACAGGTGCTCAATGAGAATGCATCTCCTGTCTGTTTGTTTTATATCATATATAAAAAGACAAGGAAAGAGCCCTTTTTGGTCTGTCGTGCCTTTTTTTTATGAAAACAAAAGTAATTGGATTAGCGACGTTGGGGTCGGCTGCCTTATTTGCATTAAGCCAAAAGTGCATCAGCAGATACTGTTTCAAAGAAGCCACAGAGCACACAAACTACAGAAATCCCAAGTGTATTCCTTACCACGCGTCCAGGTGTCAGTTGAGAGCGTTTGTTTTGTCAGACAGCTGCCTGGAGACCAGTGGGAGGATGTCAGAGCATACAAACACACATTTACACACAGGCAGTGTGGACCTGAGCTGTCAAAAACATGACACTTCTGAAGCTGTCGGCCCGGAGAGAGTATGAATCGCCTTGGGATTTGCTTTTTCTTCTTTTCAACATCAGTGCATGTAGAAATCTATATGTTTATATATTCCAGTTATCTGTATTTATTTGACTTAGCCTGCAGAAGCCACTGAGATTTAGGCAGAGATATAAAACTCCCCAGCAGTGGGCTACAGTTAAACTGCCCTCACTGCTTCCTAAAAGTATGTTCTGCTTGAGAGACAGGGTGTAAGGACTGTATTCAACAACACATCAGCTGATAAGGGGAAGAAAGAGCTTTAACAACAGGTTGCAGATAAGGGAAGCAGGTTTGTATGAAGCTAAAAGGCTGCTGCAGAAATGCAATGTGATACACACATGCTCAGTTGGTTTGCACAAGGCTCAACAGGTAAAATACAGTCAACTGGTAAAAATGAATTGCCTTGCATTATCTATGCTTAATCATGGGTGAATAACTGCTGGACTACTAAATCAAACTTGAAGTCACTTTTAAAATAATCTGGTTTTGTTTGACAAGAATTTTTAATGATCTTCTTTTCAACCTTGAGAAAGGTATTCGTCTGTGTACACAAGCACGTTTAACATTAGTGTATACTAGGCTTCTCAATATGAAAGGTTGCAGGATATCAGTCATATCTGCATTACTGTTATGAAACATGGCCAAATCAATAAATATTTGTATGACGCCATATTCAAGTCAAGTTTCCATTAAGGTCTCACTGTTCTTGCACACAACCAAGTCTTAAAGGGAGGTTTTAAAAAATCTAAAACCTGTCTTGGAAAAACAACAAAGAATCCATGACACTGTTCATCCCTCCAACTCGGTTAGCACACGTTTCTGTCTTTATATATCAATCAGGCAAAATCTTTAGACAACCATTTCAATGTTAACAGCACCATACTAAAGGCTTTCATTCGGGAATCAAATGCCAATTAGAGGACGCCAGCAACCTTTCCCGGTAAAAGAAACGCCACACTGAGCTCTGACAGTAGTAATTATACATTTTGAATCAATACAAAATACACATTAGGGGAATAAGACAAGAACACTTTTTAGGAACACATTTGACAAAAGTCTTTAAGTAAGACGATAGGCTACCTTGTGAAATATGGGACTAATCTGTAAAAACAAAAAAGCCTAATCAAATGTTTTTATATCACTGCATCAATATGTAGCCTTTGTTATTTGACTCTCTGGCGTCCTGATTGGCATGATTATGGCTGATTATGGCTCTAGGCTTGTTCTCCCAAGACTAGAGCCATAATGTGTATAGTGCCATTTGCATGATGCTGTTTGTCTTCATGGATTTTACCTGAGGAAGTTCTGAAGAGCGAAACGTTGTTCAGATAAAGCAAGTTCAAGTGATCAATGCACAGTTCTTCAGATTCCTCTTCATGGTTTAGTCCGGCCCCTAAATGACAGTTGGGTCTAAAACAGCTAACTTAATTTTTGCAGTACAATCATTTCAATGAAATCATTAAGTGATTAGCTCATTGTCAGTCCCAAACTTTAGTGTGTGTTTGCGCTTATGTCCTTACTGTGTTAATGTGCATGTTCTCATCCAATGAAAGCCAGGTGAAGGTGAGATTTTCCCAAAGATGAACATTTCTTGCATAAAAGAGCCACCTGCAAAGTGCTTCACTACCTTTCACTTCTTGTATGATGAGGTGCAGCTCTGTGACTCTGGGTAGGATAAGCAGATGAATGAATGAATGACAAAATTGTCTTCATTTTTTAAAATGCCAATACTGCCACCTGTTGGACACAGAGGATCGAATCAAATAAAACCCAGGCACCAATTTCAAAGTTTGATCCAAAGTTGTAGTTTTTAATGATTTCAGAAAAAAGGCTGCAAAGTATTACTTTAAAAAAACACAGAGTAATACCCATCCCCACACACATTTAGAACAGGATCATGTTAGGCACAAAGTGGGTGGAAGGTGTACAGTGTGTGTTAATTCTGTCAGTACTTTTGACTTAATCCCTAAGCCCTTGTCTCTTCAGTCCTCTCATGCTTCCTCCCTTCAAAAAATAGCCTTAGAATCTCTTTGTTATACAAAAGCAGCATGGCGACGACATATACTCTTAATTTACTTTCCCTGTCAACCATATTGTTTCTACCGAGTCTTTGTCAGTGATATATTACAGTAAGGAGGGAAGCATTAGAGGGTGTTCCAGACATGGCTGGGATATTTTAATATTCTAATGCCCTTCTCTCACTTTGCTCTGAAAAAAACACCCTTCAGGTGTCCCAGCTCCATTCACTGCAGAAACGGCTTGGCCGGGCTGAAGTGGCCCAGGTTCTCACAGGACTTGAGCCAGCGCTGCACATTAGAGGGAGTAGAGGAGGCAGGGCCGCTCTGCAACACGCAGCAATAGCATGCCATGTCGGCCAGGGAGAACTCCTGCCCGGCCAGCCAGGGGCTGCGGCCCAGAGCCGAGTTCAGGGCCCGCAGGACAGCGGCCCGCTCCTTGGCACTGCCCTCTGCCAGCTGGAAGAAAGCCATGTCCACCCAGCTGTCCACCAGCGTGGCGAGAGCAGCGTCACTGGGGTAGGGGGACAGCAGCTTGAAGAGGAACCGCGCCACGTTGGCCTCGCCCTCGATGGGACACATGTTCTGGACACTGAACTTCATCTGCAGTTTGGGAACTGTGGATAAGGCAAAAGAAAGATATGGTTCCTGGTTAACAAGGGCACAAACATTTACCACAGCCAGATCATGTCAATAAGGCCAATTCTTACAACATAAAAGCAAGGCTTGGAATGGTTAGACATGGCTATACTAAAACATGAGCTTTCACATTTTACAATTGTAAGTAATTCTATAATATCTTTATTGGTCAGAAAAGGCACATTATATATTCCACAACAAAAATCCCAAAAGTTATTTGAGGTTTTTGAAATGAATTGTCATAAGTTTCTACGCTTTCAAAAGTTACTCACACAAAATAAAGTGAAAAAGCTCTACCTCCTTAAGTAAATGAATCAAGTCCCTCACTCTTTGTTTACAGTCATTACTTTGCTGAATTACTTTGGCTGAGTAAGGTATTGTATTTAGTATTTCTCAAACCCCAGACACACACCCAATGTGATCCCACACCCTAATTTCTAGTTGGCCTTTTTGCTGTCATTTGTAAAAAGAAAGCGGAAATGGCAAACAAACGATGAACCAGCATATTAAACCGAATCCGATTAACTTTGGCTATATTATTTTTCCCTTTCCATTTTGATTTACTACCATATTTTAGCAGTTTTAATGCACTTCCTAGAGTTCATCCTGTAACACATGCCTCTCTCACTGTGCCTTACCATCTTTCCATATGAGGGTGACGCCCAGCTGGAACATCTGGCGGGCATAGCTGTCTGCATGGCGCGGGCCGAGGCAGGACAGGAGCTGCGGCGGCACATTGGAAACTGAGGAGTGGACGTGGACCGTAGAGAGCACCCGATAGCGCTGACACAGCACACTGTGGAGCACCATCAAGGTGAGGGGGGGCTGTGCTGGGTTGGCGTTTATGACGATGTCACGGAGAGCGCCGAGGTCCTTGTGACATAAAAAAAGATAATGGAGGTAAATAGGTGTAGCATTCAAAATAAATAGAGCAGTACAATGTTTGTCTGCTCCAACTAGGCCAATACAGCCTGCACAAACTGGCAGTAATCAGTCCACACCCTCAATGTGCGTCAAGACAAATTCCAATATGAGCAGGTTTTTCAGGTTACAGTGTTATTTATAGCATTCAATGATGGGTGCAATCAAGAAAAAACATGTATCCACTACAGCTACAGAGAAAAAGTAAGTCAAACTATGTTATTTGCAAAAAAATGATGCATACTTTCAGTTTATGAAGGATACATTCTGGCATCACTAATAAACACGGTGTTCAGTTATGCTAATACCTGGATACAGAGCTTACTAGTATTATCCCCAGCTTCTTACCTTGCCAAGTAGTGTGTCCAGATTGGTGACTCCTGTGAAGGTTGTGGAGCTTGGGCTTTGGGAGGAGAGGCTGCTGCTGACCGTCAGGTCCAGATCGGCGTCGGGGGTGGTCACCGTCTTGGCCAGGCCGTCCACCGCTGCTTTCAGATCGTACAGTTTTCTCAAGATCTCATCCTGCCTGGCTTCCAAAGCTTTGACCGCTGGATCCACCTCGCCATTCTGGGGAGACAGAGAGAATTGACGACGTGAGCATCACAGTTTTCATTATTTGAGCAAAATCAAGCCACAGTTTTGTGTAAGCTGGTTTCTCTACAATGTACTGTTATTGCACATAAAAAGGCAGTATAGAGAACATATTTAATGTAGCCCCATTCTTGAGATCAAACAGTACACACAAATATATATGAATCAAGAAAGACATCTCATAAAAAGATTTTAAAGACAAAACCTAGACTTAGTTTGGTCTTGTATAATCATGATCAAGTAATACATTAATAAATATATCTGACAGCTTTGGTTATTATACAAATCAAGATTTTTGCACACAAAAAAAGATGTATAAAACACGATTGTTTGCACTAAAGTAAAGCCACTAACAAATATAATACCCTACAAGTTCATCTATATGATTAGCTAAATCATCTTTTTTTGTTATTGGCAGAACTATTTCGATCGTTTCAGTTGTTTTCTCCATGCAAAAAATGAAAATTATGTTTCCAGCTTCTCAAATGTGAGGACGTTTCTGCA